GCTCTCGCCGTGCTTCCACTCCATGCAGTCGATGCCGCACTTCTGCATCCGGTCTACTAGATCCTCAATGAGCGCTCGGTACGGCACCACGACCACCGTCACCCCAGCGTCGTCCATGCAAGCCGGCACGCTAAACAGCAAGCTCTTGCCTCCACCGGTCGGCAGCACGACGACAAGCGGCGTCTGCCCATCAATTACTGCGTGCAGCGCCAGCTCCTGCTCTGCGGATCGAAACCCAACGTCCTGCTGACCAAGCACTTGCTGCATTGCCTTGCGGACTGCCTTCTCTTTCTTGTCTCTATGCAGCAACGCGGCTTCCCTGCCCTGATCATCCTCATTCCCGTCATCGTCATCGCTGTTGATGCCACTGCGCCCACGTTTCTTCGCCCTCCTCATTGGATTGATGTTGCCCGTCCAAGTCCGCTGCGGCGCTGCCTGCTTCCCATCCAGCCCCAAGAAGCGGTGCCACATCGCGCTGAGCGGACGGAACGCTTCAATCGAGCGCACGCTGAGATGCTTGACGATGTCGATTGGCACGCTGTAGTTGCCCACTCCAATCACCGTCGTCCTTGCGTTCTGCAGCTCCATCACGTCCTCCCCATCCTCGTCTACCTCAGCCTCGTCCACCTCGCCAACCTTGTCTTGATAGCCCTTGCTGAACCGCTCGCCTACGACAACTCGACCGATGCTGACAGCCGCGTGCCGGTAGTCGAGCGTGTGCAGCGGCACTCCCAGCCTCTTGCCGGTCTCTCGCCTCAGCGCTCGCGTCAGTCGATCAGTCCCCCACGGGCCCTGCTCGTCCGCCCACACGTAGTCGCTGAAGCTGCCGCCGAGCACCTGCACGGTGAGATACTCACGGAACGGCTGCAAGTACGCCAAGTACAGCACCATCACCTGCCCTAGCCGCGGCGGCAAGAAGCGCGGCACCACCTTCGGCTTGTCCCACTGCGACTGCGACTTGTGATAGCGGACGACCGTCATCACCTGTCCGTCCATGACGAAGATGTTGCGGTCCTGCAGCAGCCTGTTGCGGTGCCGCATCGTCGTGATCTCTGACCCTCTGCCTGGCTGTCCGGACGTCGTGTGCACGCAGACCATTAGCAGCATCAAGAAGTGGTCCACGCAACGCAAGTATCGCTTGACATGCTTCACGTTCCACTGCCCTTCGCTTGACTGCAGTCTGCGGCCCTGCTCAGTCTGCTTAGCCTGCGTCAGCATCCACTCTAGCTTGTCCTGAAGACCATTGTCACGGTGCTGCACAAAAGACACGCCCTGCTGTTCAAACGTGACGTTGTCGACGAGTATGTCCAGCTTAACAGCAAACTGCTCTTCCGCCCTTGTCACCCAGAACAGTTCCTCCTACAGCATCTGCTCTGCTTCAGACACCATGTCCTGCGCCATCTTGCAGAAGCGGCTGATGTAGATCCGCCGGCCGTGCAAGTAGAAGATCTTCTTGTCCTTTGACCAGTACGCGTTGCCTGGGTTGCCAGCCGCCAGCGCGACGTACTTGCCGTAAGCCAGCAAGCTGAGCGCCTCGCTCATCGGGCTGTACGAGCCGTCCGACAGATACTTCTCTCTGTGCTCCAAGAAGCGCTCACAATCCTTGTCAGTCTGCTCATCGCGGCACGCGGATGGGAGCAACTTCTCCACGCTAAGCACGCGCATGCAGTAGACTACGCCTGCTAGTATGTACGAGTAGTTCTTTGCTGTGCGCAAGTGGTTTGTGTTGCTGTTGATGCCCAGCACAGCGAGAAAGTGAATAAGTCCGCTGCTGAACGGCTTGTCACCTGTTGTTGTGAAGAAGAATGATGTGAGCAAGTTTAGCAGCACTTTGAGCTGAGCGTCGCGCTGAGCGCTGCGCTGCGCTTCGTCATCAGCGTCAGCATCGCGGTCCAACATCTCCCACAGTGTTACTACGAGCTCCTTCTGCTCAACTGTCCAGCAGAACAGCTCTCGCGCGTCTTTTATCAAGTCCTTCTCTCTTCAGCTGCTGCTCAGGACGTTCGCCAGTCAGCTGCTGTCAGCATCAGAGAAGTCGTCGTCGTTGTTCTCTTCCTCTTCTTCCTCTTCCTCTTCCTCTCCTTCTAAGCTATCCTCGTCGCCCTCATCATCTTCGTTGCTGCCCTCGTTGCCGCCTTCCTGCGCCGCCATCCTTGCCTCTGCGTCAGCCACAAAGCGCAGAGCGTAGCAGACAAATTTGACCATGTAGCCAGCGTAGCAGGCCTGACTCTCTGGGTTCTGTAATCAAGCTATGGGCCGCTGATCAATCTCCTGTCGCTTCGCGCTCCTCAGCCACCGCCTTGTCTCTCGCGCAAGCGTCGACAGCCCCTTGACGCTTCTCTCCACCAGCAGCTCCGTTAGCTTCGCTGCCCGCCGCAGCTTCTCCTCACCTCGATCGGGCAGCCGGGTCTGATGCGCAAGATGCATCAGATTGCGGTTAGCAAAGTGCTCCAGCCAGCCTGTCCGCTTAAACCAGCCGGTTTTATCTGTCTTTGCGACTTCAGCGTCTATAACCTGCGCCTTCTCTTCATTTGCGTGTTTTGTCAGCGTCCATTCTGCCAGCTACTCCCTAACAACGTCTGTTGTCTTATAGGGGTTAGATAGTGCGCAATTGTTGTCTGCTACCTTAATAACAAAGTATTGCTAGAGCCTACTAGTTTAGAAGAACGTCTGCGCTATAACCTTCTCACAGAGTCTAACGTCTTTACTGCTCTAAGCTGTCTGGTGTACGTTGTTGCAGTGCTTCTGCATTCTGATCTTGTTTGCGGTACAGAAGCCGCAGTCGCTAGTGATCCTGCATTGATAGACGTCTAACGGCTCGCCTAGCTGCTCAATCGGCGGCCCCAACGGCGCAGGCAGCTCAACATCTTGCGGTGCGGCGATCTGCCATTGCCGGCAGTGCTCTACAATTGATTTCCTCTCTTCGCTTGCTACGCCGTGCTGGTCGCGCAGATGCACATCGACGTTCTGTATGCCTGTAGCGTGCTCCTTGCAGATTAGCACCTGATAGCGCTGGAGATAGCAGAAGCGCTCTTGCACGTTGTTGATTGTTATCTTGCTTGCGCGCGGTCGCTTGCGGTGCTGCGTTGTAGTTATTGTTGCGGGTGGCT